TTTAAGAGTAGGTTAGATAAATGTCTATCAGGGATGGTCTAGACAGTATTTGGTCCTGCCATGAGGGCAGGGGACTGGACTTGATGACCTCTTGAGGTCCCTTCCAGTCCTAGAATCTATGAATCTGGGAATAGACATTGTATGGCGGGCCATGAATGCTCACAAAATTGGGGTTGGGGTGCAGGAGGGGGTGAGGTCTCTGGTTGGGGGTGTGGGCTCTGGGGTGGGGCCAGAAATGATGAGTTCAGCGTGCGGGAGGGGGCTCCTGGCTGGGGTGGAGGGTGGAGTGCGGGGTGGGTTGAGTGCTCCGGCTGGGGGTGCAGGCTCTGGGGTGGTGATGGGGATGAGGAGTTTGGGGTGCAGGAGGGTGTTCCAGGCTGGGATCAAGGGGTTTGGAGAGTGGGAGGGGGATCAGGGCTGGGGCAGGGTTTGGGGTGCGGGGAGAGGCTTGGGGGTGTAGGCTCCAGGCGGCGTTTACCTCAAGCGGCTCGTGGAAGCAGTGGCATGTCTCTTCTCTGTCTCCTATGCAGAGGCACGGCCACGGGGCTTTGCACGCTGTCCCGTCTGCAGGCACTGTCTGTGCAGCTCCTATTGGCTGCGGTTCCTGGCCAATGGGAGCTGCGGGGGTGGTGCTTGGGGCGGGGGCAGCATGCAGAGCGGAGCCCCCTGGCTGCCCCTCTGTGTAGAAGTCAGAGGGGGCCATGCTGTTTCTTCCGGGAGCCACCTGGAGTGGCCCCTGACCCTGCTCCTCAGCTGGAGCGCTGGAGTGGGGCAAGCCCCAGACCCTGCTCCCCAGCGGGAGCTCAAGGGCTGGATTAAAATGGCTGGCAGGACGTATGTGGCTCGTGGGCCATAGTTTGCCCACCCCTGCTCTGGACTAAATAATTTTATTTTGTTGGCAGTGTTGTTGTAGCCATATTGGTCCCTGAATATGTGAGAGATAAGGTGGGTGACATAATATCTTTTATTGGATCAATTTCTGTTGGTGAAAGAAATAAGTTTTGAGCTACACAGAGCTTTTCTTTTTGAAAGATTGTTTCTTTGACAAACAGAAGTTGGTCCAATAAAATATATATTCTTCACCCACCTCGTCTCTAAATACATTTAATAATTTTAGGGATAAAATTAATTGGCACATAACCACCTTTCCATTCCATAGATAAAAGGAGCTGCTAGTCCTGTAACTATAACACTAACTTCCGAGCAGTTTAGAAGAAACAGAAGTCAGAGAGTGACTATGTGGCAGGGACATTCAACTCAGTCTGCAGGTGAAATAGGTCATATGTTACTTGCCAGGTAAAAAATAAGCGGACAAGACACACTGCAGCTTGGGGGGCACATCTCCACCTAGTGCTGCTCTAAATGAGTGAGAAAAGGTAAAAAGGACACTTCACTGGAGAGCATCCTGACTGAACTAAACTAATCCTAAAGAAAGCAACAAATTAAAGAGACGTAGTCACCAAAATGAATGAAGACAAACTAATTATTAACATTTATTGGGAAGCTTGGCAGGATCAGCTATTCAGCCTCCATTAACAGAGGATGAGACGTGTGAGGCAGATAGAGCAGGCTATTAAAATTGAACCCCCAAAATTATGTTTTAGGAAGAAAAGATCTGTTACTCAGTGAATTAAAATCTAACTTTTCAGTCAGATTTTGTGTTTCAAAATGCTGCTCAAAGTTGAGACACTGAGTACCAACACATAATGGGGAAGTTGTAAGCATCGCTCTGTAGAATAAGGAACTGTGCTCTATATGCATACCTGAATATATGTATAAGTGGTTGTGAAGTTATTGACAAATTGTGACTGCATAGATCATTATTGCTACCATGGTTATATATCTGTAGCAAATATTGTACAAAGGTTGTCTTGTGAGGTGTCTATGAAGAGGTTATGATTTGCTGGTTATAATTATGCTATCTGTATGTGTGTACCATTTTTGTAGTTGAAGTTATGAATATTGGCTATGTACTTGTATCTCAATGTGTTTGATTCTAAATAGCCTCCGTGAAGCATTTGGTCAGCTTCTTGAGAAAGAACTATTCTCAGTAAGAGCCCAATCAAGAAACACTTAACTGACAGTGGACTTTGGGAGACGCCAATCCACATCTGAGCTTTCCTGGAAACATTCAAACGAACATGTAAACAATGGTGTCTGCCTGCAAACTGAGTCATGCATGGACATGTGACTTACGCATGTGACTCCAGACTCCATCTTGCTGCTGTGATTTTCCACAGAAGAACAAATGGGTGACCTTCCACGAGCAGAAAATATAAAAGGCCCTAGAAACCCCTCCATCTTGCCTTCAATCCTGCTTCTAACTTCTGGAGGAACCTTGCTATAAACTGAAGCTCTGAACAAAGGACTGAATGACCCATCCCAGCTGTGGATGTACTCCAGAGACAGAGTTTGAACCTGCAGTTTATTCCACCACTTCTACAAGCCTGAACCAAGAACTTTGCCATTACTGTATGTAATTGATTCCATTTAACCAATTTTAGCTCTCATCTATATCTTTTTCCTTTTATGAGTAAACCTTTAGATTTTAAAGGACTGGCAATAGCATTATTTGTGGGTAAGATCTAATTTGTATATTGATCTGGGTCTGGGGCTTGGTCCTTTGGGATCGGGAGAACCTTTTTTCTTTTACCGGGGTATTGGTTTTCATAACCATTTGTCCCCATAACGAATGGTACTGGTGGTGATACTGGGAAACTGGAATGTCTAAGGGAATTGCTTGTATGACTTATGGTTAGCCAGTGGGGTAAAACCAAAGTCCTCTATGTCTGTCTGGTTTGGTGTGCCTTAAAAGTGGAGAAACCCCAGCCTTCGGCTGTAACTGCCCTGCTCTAAGCAATTTTTCCGGAATTAATACTCTCAGAAGTGTCTCACCAAAAGCAGCATCATTACAGTGGTGTTTTCCTATGACTTCAATTTCAACTTTTTTGCTTGCTTGCATCACTTTATTAATTTGACTTGGGATTTTTTAGGATGTTTGAGACAATGTCTGTGGACTAAACCCTGACTTCAAATTTCTCAAAATACCTTTGGACCTACTGACTGGATAAGTTTCTTGATCAGTGGACTTTCTGAGTCTGAAAGTACCAGAATGGGGAGGTTCTTTGTTTCAATAAATCTGACCTAATCAATCCCCATTGGGTGATGCCAGTGACCCCAGAAGGAGAGGGTCCATTCTGATTTGCCAAAGGAGTCCCAAGGAGGAATTCCAAGGGGGAGGAACCATCCAGCCACCATCTTCAAAAACTGAAGGAAAAGAAAAAGCCTTGCTGCTGGCTTGTTGGCTACAAACTATGGGTTGCTTGCCTGCAATGGCGGCTGCCATAGTTGCTGCTGTAGCCCTTGACTGAAGGCCTCTGGCCTTGCAATGTTACCATGTCTGACAAAGAATCCTGTGCTTCCTCCACCCTCCTGGCTGACCATCAAGGTCCAGCAACAAGCAACATCTAAGATTCAACATCTATAAGCAAGTAATCTGGTTGCCAACAAGTCGTTCAACACAAAACAGCAGAGCTGAGTAGACAACCACTAATCTTTTCAACTGTGTACCAGCTTCCTGAAGCTGAATTAAAAGGCTGCTCTGCATCTCTTCTCACTTGTGTATGATTTATTTTCCTACACTACTTCTTAAAATAAGAGAGTTTTATTTACAGTGGTTTCTTAGTACATTTTCCAATGGATCAGAGACATCAATATATATATAACTTACTTCTCTTCACATTTATTGTAAGTAAGTCCATCCCCACCACAGTTGCCACACCGGTCACCTTCAGTATTCACTGCTTTGAAACAACTCAGTGGGGCCAGATGTGCTGCTGAAAAGAGTGGGGAAAGCACAAGGTAAATTATAAGACAAATAAAGCACACAGTGCATTATACTAATTCCTCCAATCATTTCAAAGGGCTAAGGGGAAACTGAAGTTATTAACCTGTAACCAGAGTTCTTTGGCATGGATGTGCAGATGTGATGGTGGAACCTTTAGGTAGCAGTGCCTGTTGGAACTCTCACATCCTCTCCTACCCCGGCCCTCACTGTTCCTGAATTTTCTGAGGGCAAGGCTATAAAAGGGGACATGGTGCTTCACCCACCTCCGTGACTTGCACTGCCTCCTCCAAGTCCCAGGTTGTACTTAGGACTCCAAGGAAGAAGGAGGGTGGGTTCCGAGTGCAAATATGCAGAATACTTCTTCAAGAATTCTGGTTACAGGGTTACTAACCTCTATTTCTTCTTCAAATGTCCTCTGCATATTCCTACCCATGGGACAGTGTGACAAGCAGTACTCCCTTTAGATGAAGGTGAGTCCTATAATTAAAGGGAGACTGAAGTATTGCCCTGCTAAATTGTGCATCCAATGTGGATGCTGAATCCAAAGAACAGGGGTTTGAGAAATGTTTGCGAAGAGCTCAACATTGCAGCACTAGAGATCTGTATAAAAGGAATATGTCTAAGTCATACCATTGTCTAAGGCAGGGATAGGCAACCTATGGCACGCGTGCCAAAGGCGGCACATGAGCTGCTTTTCAGTTGCACTCACACTGCCGGGTCCTGGCCACTGGTCCGGGGGGGCTCTGCATTTTAATTTAATTTTAAGTGAAGCTTCTTACACATTTTAAAAACCTTATTTACTTTACATACAACAATAGTTTAGCTATATATTGTAGACTTATAGAAAGAGACCTTCTAAAAACGTTAAAATGTATTACTGGCACACAAAACCTTAAATTAGAGTGAATAAATGAAGACTCAGCACACCACTTCTGAAAGGTTCCCGACCCCTGGTCATTGAAGCTTCCTAGTGGACTATGTCCGAATTCTCTCCAGAATAGAGTCTGATGCTAAAATGTAGGTCTCATGAAAGCATAGACTAGCCAATTTTGAGAGTGTAGGAGACTAAAGCACTTGTTTCTTTTTGTTATCAGGATAGAAATGAATAGATTATGGCACAATCTGAATTATTTAGTCCTATCGAAATAATAAGCTAAAGACCTTTGGGCTAAAGTAAGAAGCATGTTTTCTCTTGCACATGTGCGGCCTTAGAAAAAATACTAGTGAGTTAATTGACAGATAGATGTAAAATTCAATCACCAAATTAGGGATGGGGATGTAGCTCTCCTCTATCCTTATGAAAAACAGTGAATGGTGGGTCAGCCATGAGGACCTGTAATTCACACACTCTTCTAGCAGATGTGATGGATCAGCTAAGCAAGAGACTTCAACCCCCATTAGCGCTTCACACTGCATTTCCCTTTCTTCTGGCCAGGAGGGGGAAAGGTCCTGAACCAGGAAGGGGCTGGGCTCTGTTTAAAAAGCAGCAGCCACATGACAAAGCAGGAGCTGTTGAGAAGAAACCCCAGGTAGGCAACTGTAAGCAGAGCCACATGTGGAACAGGTTGTGACTGCTGAATGTTACAGCTGGGTGCAGGTCTGTATGGGACTTATGGGGCAGTGGAAGAAAGCTAGTACAGAGGGCCTCAATGAGAGAAACTAACCGAGCCTGGTCTAGAAACCCACAAGAGCTTATTTTCTTCAACAGAGATTAGACTGGAGAGGGCATCCCAGGCACTAGTCCTGAAGAGCCCTGATTTTCAATAGGACTGCCCCAAGGCCCAAAACAAGAACCCCCTGTGGCAAACTTTGCACTGTAACTGTGAAGCCTCTATACCTAGGTTATTTGCGAACTTTCCCTCCCCTGCCAGCTCTAGTGCATTACTCTTTCACTTAATCATTGGGACCTACCAGAGCTATCATCAACAAGGCTTAGCTGCTGAAGCACCTACAGCACTTCTAAATTGCTGTACACCATGTATGCTCCTAGTTCCTTAGGGATTTAATGTACTCCAGCACATAACATCTGTATAATTACTGGGGGTTGCTAATAGAAGAACAGGAGTACTTGTGGCACCTTAGAGACTAACAATATGCATCCGAAGAAGTGGGCTGTAGTCCACGAAAGCTTATGCTCTAATAAATTTGTTAGTCTCTAAGGTGCCACAAGTACTCCTGTTCTTCTTTTTGCGGATACAGACTAACACGGCTGCTACTCTGAAACCTGACAGATGTTAATGCTATTTCACTTGCTGCAATAAAGGGTTTAGTCTGCAGCAAGAGAACTTTAGTTAGATATTAGGAAAAACTTTCTAACGATAAGGTTAGTTAAGCTATTGAATAGGCTTCCAAGGGAGGCTGTGGAAGCCCCATCATTGGAGGCTTTTAGAACAGGTTAGACAAACACTTGTCAGGTATGGTCTAGGTTTACTTGGTCCTGACTCAGTGCCTGGGGCTGGGCTCGATGACCTCTCAAGGTCCCTTCCAGCCCTACATTTCTATGATTCTATGATAAAAGCTGTTTTAACTGAGAGTTAAAATAAACACCATTCTGCTATTGGCTCAAATGGAACTTCATTAGCTACTGGAGGTTCCATGCTGGTTAAGAGTTTTTAACGTGTAGGAAGATTTACTGAACCCTTTCATAAAGGTCTTAAATGTGTTATGTGTGAATACAGACTTGTTATCTATGAGAGCGGTATACCAATAGAGTTGCTGGGTGGACATTAACAGCTGATAAAAAGGGATCTGAAAGTTTCAGCTGTAGCAGTAATTCTAAAATATGATGAACTGGAGCCATTGTTGCAGCTACATTACTCCTGTTTACCCAGAAAATGAATCTCTCCCATTTGAAGCTATAACGCTTATGGGTTGATTCTTTCCTACAGTTAAGTAGGACATGAACCAGCAGACAGCAAGATTGTTCTAATTCTATCAAAGATCCACAGCCCAGGTTGTCAGATCTGATCAACTCTCCAACGAATCTGTGAGGAAGAAGAAGAGATTGGTAAACTCCTTTTGTTAGATGGAGGACTGAGAACCACTTGGCCACAATGGAGCCATTAGAATTACTTTGGCTCTGTCCCATTGTGGATGAGAAATGGGATAAAGCATACAGAAGATCTTGCCGCCAGTTTATCAGAAATGTGTCTGAGCTTGATTGGCTGTCATGTCCTGCTCTTGAGCAAGATCTGGAACATTTTACCTGGTTGCAATGAGATCTACATGCAGATGATCCCCGCAAGTTGGAGATCTTCAGTATCACTGAGGTGTTCAGTGACCAATCCTGGAGTTCTACTGTGTTTCTGCTCAATTGGTCCGCAATACTGTTGCATTTCCCTGCTAGGTGTAGCAGTACAGGAGAGATCTTCTGTTGAATGCACCACTGCCCCGCATCCACTGCTGCTCTGCATAGATGTGTGGAATGTGTATATCCTTGCTTGTTTATATAATGCATCACTTTCCTTGATTGTAGCTGGCCTATGTTGTCCTTAAAAAGCGGCACTATGCTCAAATATAGTTTAGGCAGAAAAGATTTGAGAGCCCAGCATATTGCTCTAAGTTCTAGCACACTGATATCTAGTTTATTTTCCTGGGAGTTCCAGTGGCCACAAATTATCAATGTGAGCTCCCCTGCCCAGGCTGGATGTAGTTGAGGTTAGTGTTGCTGATTCTGCTGGACAGTTGAAAACTACTCTCTTCATCTTGAGACAGTCCATCATGACAGAGGCAGGGTCACACTCCTTGTTATGATCAATATTAGAGACATATCTAAAATATGTCTATACTTTTGTCAGTCATTGCTGGATAGACCACATTTCCAGCTGGGTATAATGTTTTACCTGCATAGCTGAGTCTATTAATCCATTAATTTATTAGTCCATTAATCTGAGCAAGAAAATGACATCCTGACATGGTGCAGCAAGGCCATGGCTGACTGAATCTTTGCCACCATTTCTTCTGGCAAGAAGGCTGTGCTGATATAGGACTCCAACATTGATATCCACAAAGCAGTGGGCAAACTGGGAGAAGTCCCTAATATTCTTAGACCTACTTTCCTAAATACGAAGCACATGCAGGAGATGGCTCCTGTAGTAGGAAGAGATTCTGAGATGCTGGAGGTAGGGTCCAGAATGGAGAACAGAGATTCCAAGGCAAGAACCACACGGAACGCTGGGACCAGCAAAGCAGGGAATCACTGCATGATGGGGGAATCTCTGCTCCAGATGTTAATGATACCACGCCTACACACACCCAGCTCAGGAGTCATCAGACCAATTCTAGTAATAAATCCTTTATTGGTATACAAAATAGTGAAGCTCCCTAATTGCATTGTGAGCTCCCTCCAAGGAACACCACCCAAAGCCAGGAATGATCAGCTCCCATTGTCTAGCCCGAACAAAACAACTTTGGTATACTCCCTTGAGCCATCAGTTTACACATAAACAAATCTAGTGTTCTCCCTTGAACCATTGTTGTTTCTCTACAAAAAACCCTCCCCGTGCTCAAATAAGTGTTCTGATACCTGGATCCAAAATCTGCATCAGTTCCATTGGGACTTCATCTTCTCCTGACTGATCATGCTGTGGGCTCTGCCTGTCTCCAGCACTCTGGACCCTGAGTTACCACCACCTGGGACCTTCGATGGAGTCAAAATTCACGGAATGGTGAGAACCCAGCTCTCTCTCTAAGTATAGCCTTCTCACCCTGATTTGTGAGATCAGTTATAGTTTTCTAAACCTGACTTTTATAATCAAGTTTAAGTTAGATTTAATATTATAATTGTTTTGTTTGTTTGGCTCCCCTATGGTTATTACCTGGCAATAAATAACTTTAATGATTAAGCTGGTTACTTCTCTCTCCACCCCCCGCCCCACTGTGGGTAGTTTTTGGTTTCCTCATTTGCTCTGCAGCAACGCTCCTCATACCTAAGCTAAAAGATCCCTGAAGTGCCCAAAAATCCTGTGCAGTTTGCTCATCAAGTGGGTT